GTGAGATTTTAGCTCTGAGCTCTGACTTCTCGGCTTTCTCTTTTACATTGTTTCTGTGTTTCTTATTTAATAAGACGGTTGGTTACATCTACATGGAGGGGTCAATTGACTCAAACAGACTGACTGGATAGCAGCTCCAGGGTCCTCCTACCCCACCTCTGCAGTGTGGTACAACATGCACTGCCATTCTGGCCTTCAGGTGGGTGCTGGGGATCTGAACTCAGGCCCACATGCTTTCCGGGCAAGCATTTTACCAAGTGAACTATCCTCCTTTATCTACCTCATCTTATTTTCTCATCTATTTATTTATTTTGGAGACAAGATCTTGCTATGTAACCTTGACTGGCCTGGAACTCACTATGTAGACCTGGCTGTCCTTGAACTCATGGAGATCCGCCTGCCTCTGCCTCCTGAATGCTGGGATTAAAGGGGTGTGCCACCATGCCCAGCAACCTAACCTTAATCTTTTCTTTGTAAGAAAGATTTCCTGGGGTTAGGGACATAGGTCAGTGCCAGAAGAACCCTTGCTAGCATGCTCGAGGCCCTGAATTCAATAACTAGTGCTGACAGGGGCAAGTTCCTACACACTTTAAGTTCGTTTGTTTCACATTTTAAAGATGTTGTTACGTTTACATTAGTCTGTCATAATCATATGTCACACATAATTTTGTGTGTATCCATGTGTGCACACATGTGCCAGTCCACCCCCATGGAGGTCAGAGGACAATTGGTGAGAGTCAGTCCTTTCCTTCTACCATGTGGGTCCCAGGAACCAGACTTAGGACCTCAGCCTTGGCAGCAAGTGCCTCTACCCAGTGAACTATCTTGCAAACATGTTTTACATTTCTCCGTTTGCATCAATAACACACTTTTAGTCATAGTTTACAAGGCATACAACATGGACCGACACTCTTTTGTTCCTGTCGTTCATGCTGTGGTTTCTGTCCTCTGCATGGGGCCATCCATCCATCCATCACCCTAGCGGCAGACATCCTTTCTCCACCCCATCCCATCGTTCTCAGATCAAGCTTTCTGCACGCGCACACGGCCTCCTTCCGGACTCACTCTCGGCCCACACAGCTACACCGCAGCGCTTGCAGCACCCTCTGCGCCTTCAGTATTTTAGTGAAGGTCTCTGGAACCCACAACGGTCTACTTCAGCGTCACCTACTACTTTTCCAACTCCAACTTCAGCAGTTACGTTATAAACACCGCAACTACAGACATTACATAAGGAGTCATGGAAAATAGCATTAACCATGTAAAATGTGCTCAGCACACTGAACAATGGAGTAACAATCAACGTCGTTACCTGCAGACCGTACTTCACCCGTATTTTCCTTAGCGCTTTCCTCCTTTCCAACTCTTTCTCCTCCTTACTTAACGCTGGAGCAACTAAAAGGAAAAACTGAGTTTGAATATGACAGACCTCATAGAAAATTAATACTTACTAAAAAATACTAGTTTATCTCAGGGTATTTTCCAGTCCAAACCATTTTTCCTGAAATTTCATAATCTTATTTTTCATTAATAGAATAAAGTTCCATTGTGTATATCACATTATCATTATCCATTCATCAGCAAGCAGAAAATATTATGCTGAGATACCTAACCCAGGACCAGAGAAAAGGACAAAATGTCACATATTCACTCCCCCAGGAGAGCTGGGAGAGCAAAGTGGAGCACACATGATGTGAAAGAAGGGTTACAGCACTCGGAGGGCAGAGGCAGGAGGATCTCTGTGAGTTCAAGGCCAGCCTGGGCTACAGAGTGAGTTCCAGGACAGGCACCAAAGCTACACAGAGAAACCCTGTCTCGGAAGAAAGAAGGGTTCAATGTTTAAGTGTGGATGGGAGAAGAGGAAGGGGTTGGGATGTGGGCTAGCCAAACTAAGGATGTATGAAAACCCCTTCTGGAAACCCATTCTTTGAAAGCCAATTAAGAACTACGATTTCTGAAAGGACTTGGAGTGGAGGCAGCCCACACGTGTACTACTCACGGAAGAGCACCTTCTCTACACCACCACATCACTAGACACAAGCTGGGGCATTCACCTATCTCGCCCACAGGGCGGTGACAGGAAGGGTGGGCGGGGCTCAGTGGTGGGGAGGGAAGGGCCGTGGTGCATTTTAAACATCAGTGAATGGACGTGTTCTACTCGGTGGTTCACGTACCGAAAGGCTCGTCTTTCTTGTCGAGGCGCAGGTGAGCTCTGACCTGCCCTGGTTCACAGCCATCGCAGGTCTCGCTGCCAGGGTGGATGTGAAAAGACAACACGGTCTCCCCGATCCTCACCTCATCACCGTGTTCAAGGACGTAAGGGTCACTTTTAGTTTTGGGCTAAAGGAGACATTTTTAATGAAACAGAAATACAAAGTAGTCACCTGGTTACACTGTGTCTACGGTAAGAGATATCTGATGATAATGAGAAAACCTCAGAAACGGAGACACATGCACACTTCTACAACTTGGTGGACTGTGAAAAACATGACAGTAACTCAGTGGTAGGATATGTACTTACCCTGAACCAAACTCTGGGATCAATCCCACAGTCCTTTATAGTATTCCCCAAAAACTACTTATAATTTTGATCTTATCAAAACTCACCAATTTTCTTACCCACCAGCCCACTCTGGATTTTAATCTATTAGCAAAACATATAATCAGAAGAGAGTTACATGTTAAGAGGCAACTGCTTTTCTTCTTTAAGAAAAATTTTGTCTGTGTATGCATGTGCGCGCGCGCGTGTGTATGTGCGCACATGTGTGTGTGTGTGTGTGTGTGTGTGTGTGTGTGTGTGTGTGTGTGTGTGTGTGTGTGAAGAGGGGTTAAGACTGCTCAGAGCCAGAGCTCAGGTGAGTGTGTAACTTGTTACATGGGCACTGGGCTCACAACTCAGGTCCTCATGATTGCAGTGAGCACTCTTAACCACTGAGCCACATTTCAGCCTTTCTTATCTAGAGCTGCTTATCACCTCTGGGTACATCATGGCGTATACAGTTCAGGGTGACCTCTGGACACACCATGGCGTACATACTTCCTGAAGTCTGACAGAACACGACCACCTGTTCACAGCCCTGCCTTCCTGCCCGGGATTGGCAGGCGGTTCCCTTCCTTCCCGGAGTTGCTTTATCAGGGTATTTGGTTTTCAGCAAATTCCCAGGTGAGCATTATTTTTATTAAGACAAGAAAAGGGCACAGAAGGCAAGTCAGGATGCCGAATGGTCCATCGGAGGAAGAGCATCTGCTTGACAAGCAGGAGGAACCTGAGCTACATTCACAGTAGCACACCGGGAAGAGGGTTACCCAAGCTGCTTCTATGAATATTCAGTCCTAGCCAGTGGATGGCTCAGCTGGGAGAAATGACTCCAGGAAGCTGTCCTATGACCTCCACAGGTGTGTACGTACACACACAAATATTTTTAAAACAATATTTAATCTAAATAAGCTTTATGATACATTCATACCTCAACAGCAACAGAGACATAATTAGAAGCTAAAACCCAACAGACCGACATCTACTAAATATTTTTTCTACCTCTTTCTGGAAATTTCCACCCAAGTCACACATTTGGGTTTTAACTCTGATCTGAACCAAATGCTATCTATAACGACCAGGACCCAAGCCCTACACAGGTGATCAGTACACAGTCACTCACCTGAAGAATCTGCTTCCCGTTGACAACGGTACCGTTCTGGCTGCCCTGATCCACAAGGACGTAGCTTTGCAGGTCATGGTCAAAATAAATTTCTGCGTGAAACTTAAAGAAAAGCAACCAATCAATTACACAGCACTGCCCACTCTCAGCAGAGCTGACTCACTGTCATGCAGTGGTGTGGGTCAGCCTCTCATCAATTACACAGCACTGCCCGCTCTCAGCAGAGCTGACTCACTATCATGCAGTGGTGTGGGTCAGCCTCTCATCAATTACACAGCACTGCCCGCTCTCAGCAGAGCTGACTCACTATCAATCATGCAGTGGTGTGGGCCAGTCTCTGATCATTTCACTTGTACTTTCCTTAATGCTTTTCTCTGAATACAAATTATTACAGTCTTTAGTAAAAATATGGAGGCTATACTTCCACCTTTGGCTATGATGAAAAATGTATATATATCCTGCCCCTATTTTTTACAATTTTTCATTTGGAATTTAATTTTTTAAAATGCGGGTAAGACTATACCATACACACAATTTGAACTCCCCCCCCAAAACATAAGCCCTATCTATTTAAAATCATTGTAATTCTCAATACACACTGAAACACTCAACTTCTCAAGGAAGCAAGTTCTCCAGATCGTCAGGACATAGGACTGCACTTCAGTCCTTTATCCTGCAGCTCTGCTTCATGGCTTACCATTACACATGCAGCTTGTCCAAGGAGTGGGCACAACGGGACTCTGTCAGTCTCTTACATGAATAAGCCCACACCAGAGCTTCTACAACTGGGTATCTAGTCTCTAGGGTGTTACTATCTTTAAGAATATTGCTGTGGTCAGGCTGGAGAGGTGGCTCAGGGGTTAAGAGCACTGGCTACTTTTCCAGAGGACCAGAGTTTGATTCCAGCCACCATGAGGCAGTTCATCTACAGCGAGGCTTACACCACCTGTCACTCCAGTCCCGGGAAATCCATCACCTTCTTCTGGCATTTGTGTGTTCCCGGCACCTAAGCGACACACTGTTGTGGGACATTTGTGCACTATGTGAAGATCTATTGCTGTGACTGGTTTAATAAAGAGCTGAATGGCCAATACTAGGCAGGAGGCATAGGCAGGACTTTTCGGCAGAGAGGAAGTAGGAGGAGATAATCAAAGCGCAGAGGAGACGCCAACGAGACATGGAACTGGACACACAGAATGGAAGAAAGGTAAAAAGCCACGTGGTAAAATGTAGGTTGATAAAAACAGATTAACTGAAGTTATAAAGAGCTAGTGAGACAAACCTGAGCTAAGGCTGAGATTTCATAATTGATAAGTCTCCGTGTCAATATTTATGAACTGGCGGCCCAAAGAAAACTCCGATTACAGTATACAGACATACATTCAAGTAAAACACATATATTTTCTAAAACTAAAAAACCTGCTATGAGCCTTTCTGTGTGTACAGTATCTGCACACAATCCAGCTATTTCTCAGAGAAAGATACAGAACTGTCAAATCACTATAAGCAAATATATTTAAATTAATTTTTCATTTATTTGTTTTGTATGTATGTGTGTTTATGGGGTGCCCTGGTGTACACTGGGCATTTCAGGGCATGGGCATGCCAGGGTGCATGTGTAGAGTCCTAGGACCACTTGTGGCGTTGGTTCTCTCCTGCCACCATGGTTTCTAGGGATCCAACTCAGGCTGTCAGGCTTGCAGCAAGCACATTAACTTAATGAGCCATCCTGCCTTCAGCTGGCCCCTCTAGGCGAATTTCTAATCTTAAACTAAACAAATACTGCCACACTGCTTTCTAAAATAGATGTATCAATTATATTCCTACTGTGGTGGTGCACACCTTTAATTCTAGCACTTGGGAGGCGGAGGCAGGTAGATCTCTGAGCTTGAGGTCAGCCTAGTCTACAGAGTGAGTTCCAGGACAGCCAGGGGTACACAGAGAAACTTTATCTCAAAAAACAAAACAAAACAAAACAAATAATAAATAAACACACACACATGTATATATTCTTAACAAAATCTGGTTCTTGTCAGAATTTAAAATTTCTATGACTCTACAAATGTGTAATAAAGTTTTGCCACTGATTTTGAGTTTCTCCGACTTCTACTGAAAATCTTTTTCTAAAAAGCTCCTTTAATATTTCTAATTATGCGTATGTGCATAGGTCTGTGTGTGGGTCTGTGCAGGTGCCCAATGTCGGAGGGCTCATATCCCCTAGGGCTAGAGGTACAGGTGCGGTGAGTCACCGGATACAGGTGCTCGAGTCCTCTGACAGCTTGTGCTCCTAACTGCTGAGCCGCCTCTCCAGTCCCGAGAACCTGCGGGACTAGTATTGACTAGCCACTTGAGTTCCTCCGCCTGTGCCATTAAGACTCTCTAGGGTAACTTTATAAAAGTGTTCAATGTTTCAAGTGTTTTCACACTGCCAGATCTTATTCCAAAAAACTCTTCTAAACTGTGCTTCCAATAGGAATCATTTTTAATAAATGTGAATAAAAACTCAATGTTGGCTATTGAGAGCCGCTGGTAGCAAAAGACCATGAGAGTATGCAGCAGTGACAACTAGTGCTCAGGAGGTCAACCTATCAGAACTAAGGGTTCTGTTAGAGGAAACCATCACACAAGGCATTATGGAATTACTGCCTTTTGAATGAACTGGCTGTCTCTAGTTGTAAACTTGTGCAATAACAGCCATGATTCTCCCCATTTACCGTGCATCTCCATGTTATGTGTACATGTGATCTCACGATTGCATCTCAATCTTGGGCACGACTTTCCCTTATACATTGGGGTAATTGGACAACTGTCCCCAGCTGTGTTTATTTTTCATTAGCGTACATCTGGCCAAAATTATTTTAGCAAAGATACCTTTTTTTCCAAGGACAAAACTGCACATAAACATTAGTTCATCTCACTTACAGATAAGAGAAAATAACCACTAACAATTAAATCTTCAACTCCTTACCTTCACCCCGGGTTATTTACACAAGACCCTAACTTAAGAGATTTACTGCTCACATTCCAGGGATGATGTTTTAGCTATTTGCTAGTTACTGAGTTAAGGCAATTACTTCCCACTGACCCAAGGAGATTGCCTACAAGGCCAGGCAGGTGATAGGTGCCAAGCTTCTTTCTTGTGCAAATTGTTTTTATTCCTCTTCAGGTAGGTGCTATTCCTAGATTTTCTGCTCAGCAATTACTCTGAGTGAAAGCGCTTTTACTAACCAAATACTACATGCTCTGACATAGGTCGCTTAGCCACCTAGCATATGTCCCCCTCCCTATCAGAAAGCAGCTGCAGCCGGGAGGAGCAGGAAAAGCGGCACCAAAGACAGTTGACTTTCTTGTGACTTACTGACCCCTAACATTCTATCTAGCCATTTTTAGACTATAGTTTGAGCACATAAATTCCCTAATTGATCTTAGCCTTTAGTTGACCCTACCAGAGAACTCCCCTTTAGGGTTGTAATTGGAAGCTGACAATTATTGCTTTATGTGTGGGTCCTGATCACCTCTCTCTGAAACCCTGAAAACTTTAAGCCTCGCATGGCTTTGCCAAAGAACTACTGTGTGGGTATACATACTGGTTCTCTGAGAGCACTGGGAGGATGGATGGAGAAGAACAAAGATGAGGATGGAGAAGGAAAGAACTAAGTAGAATGATGAGAGAACAGCAGAAGGAACTGAGAGCAGGAGGGACCCAGAGGAGCTAAGTAAGAGAGCAGGAAAGAAACTGTAGAAGGAATTGACTTAGAAGAATAAAGTGAATGGACTAAAGAACTCCGTGTGCTTAGATTCATTTGCTATCCCTCAGATTAGCATCCGCAGCCACTTATAGCATCTGTTCTGGACCGATAGGAATCCCCTCAAGGCAGGCACTTGGGGGGAAGTCATTAGTCGGCTTCACATTTGTATTGTGTATACTGCTCTAAAGAGTAGATGGCTTTTCACGTCAGCCATGACATTCTCCCCAAGGTGAACAGACTGTATCTTTGACTCACTGCTCTACTGACGTCAAATGGGGTTGGAAGAAATACATCTGTACAGATGTAAATACATCCTGCCCTAGTTTTGTGATGGCCATCATTGCCTGCCTTTTTAATTTGTTTAACTCATAAGCTTCAAACTGAGTCAAAATGACCGATGTGTGAATTTTACTATTTTTCTTCAAACTCATAAAGCCTTCTGTTCAATGCTCAAGTATTTGTTTCTGTTTTCTTTCATGGTAAATTGAAAGTTTTTAGAATGAATATACAGATTTCATCTACCTGGGAATAAGTAGTATGTGCTATTAGCCTCATATTTCCTAGATTATCTACCTACTAGAGAATATCACTTTAACACAAACAAAAGCAAGAAACCAAGCACACAGCTATCTGCATTTCTGCCTAGCTGAGAGGTGGGAAAGGGATTCTTTACCAAAGTCACAGGGTGAACTTTCTTTGGAGACACAAAGTAAATGAACAGGGTAGATGAGGAAGGTTTCCTGCTTCTAAATGAGTATGCAGGGGAAGCCTTTCCAAATAACAACAGGAAATAAATTCCATTCTTTTGTGCAAGATTTTTAAGACAGGGTTTCTCTTTGTAGCCTTGGCTCTCCTGGACGGCACTATAAAGACCTGGCTGGCCTCGAACTCATAGAGATTTGCCTGCCTTTGCCTCCTGAACGCTGGGACTAAAGGCGTGCATCACCATCACCCAGCATAAAATCCATTTTTAATACACAGAACTCATAGGAAGTCTCTGTAAGGTTCGTATTACTCCATTAAGTAAAAATAAAGTTGGGAGATGTAGGGGTAGATGCCTGCCTACTATTCACAAAGCTGTGGTTTCAATTTTCTACATTTCTTTCCAGAAAGACAGTAAAAATGGAACTAGAAACACACAGCATGAAGAACCCCAGAAGCCAACCCTTCCCCTCTGTTTTAAAGCTGCAATTGTTTGTTGCAAAACCCAACTTTTTGTTGTTACAACATGAAGCCACTGAAAGTCTGAGAAAAGAGGAAACGGTGTCCTGAGGTAGAAAAGGCTAGATTATCCATGGGTGGTAAAACATCTGAATTCAAACCAACTGCTTGGAATGGGGGTTGGATTTCTTTTTTAATGTGCTAACTAGTTACTATTTTACTATTTACTATTTATTATGTTAAATTAAATCCATGTTTTGTAACTCCTGCTTCAGACATAATTAGCCAGGTGTGGTGATACACACCTGTGTTCCCACTAATTCAGGAGGCTGAGGCCAGATGACCTGGGCAGCCTAGGAACAAGGGCAGGAAGACCTTGCCACAAAACAAAACACAACAAAAATCCTGGCCAGGCATGGGGACCCCTGCCTATATAGTACCTAGGAGGCAGATGTAGGAGGATCTGGAGTTTAAGGCTAGACTCTGCTACTTAGTGAGTTTGAGGCTGGCCTGGGCTACAAGAGACCAAACACAAAAGCCCCATAATTTTCAAACTGTGATAAAGAATCTTTTTCTCAAACGTTGCAAGAAACAAATAGGTACTGCCTTCATGAGTATTACTACACTATTAACCTTCTCATTAAATAGAAGTCAAGGTTTCTACTAAAATGATTTTGGGTTCCTTTTTTGTTTTGTTTCTTTATGTAAGATTTTGTTATGTAGCCCAGGCTGATTCAGAACTCTTATGTACAAGCCTGTTCCCAAACTTAGCTTACCAAGCACTGGAATACAAGCTAAAGACACACACACACACACACACACACACACACACACACACACACACACACACACACACGGCTTTTCCCCTCTAGGGCTACCACTGAGAGGAAAGGTCTTACCTTACTGACACCAACTTCAGGGATTCGGAGAGTATGCTCCATATCCTTTTCTCTGCAGCAGAAGGCAAAGTGACTTTAGTGATTCAGGGAACACGGAGAAACACAGCAGTGACATCGACAGGTCGAGGTATGTCTTTACACGATGTTTAAATGGAGGTCTCACCCAGCACTTCTGCTGTGGACTGCCCTCACTGACACACTGGAGTTTGCACGCTTCCACACAGGATTTGTTCACATCAGTTTCCTAGAGTAACTGTGCTTTCTTATGATGAAGATGTTGCTTTCATCTTTTTTGCTTCCAGAGCACACAGAACAATGCTCGAAAGACAATACTGCTCATCCAACGTTTTGAAATACACAACATTATGAAGCATCCTTACCTCCCAATGGTGGCTGGGTTGACAGCTGTGATGATGAACAGTGAGCCCGTCTGTAACACTGGAGATCTAATAACAATCACCCGAATACAGGGGGGCCAAATCTTTTCCTCATCTACCAAGACAAGAGGTAGGCAAACATCAATTTAAGCGCTATGAAAATTGATTTTTCGTTAGGAGGTTGGTTGTGTATACCTTTAACCCCAGCACTAGGGAGGCAGAGACAGGTGGATCTGAGTTTGAGGCCAGCCTGGTTTACAGAGCAAGTTCCAGGAAAGCCACGGCTACACAGAGAAAATCTATCTCAAAAAAAAAAGAAGAAAATTCATTTTCACACAGATAACTAAAATTTCACTGGTCAGAACTCATAGTAGATTATGGCCCAGCACATGTTCAGGTCCTGGGTTCAATACCCAGTATAGCAACAAACAAAAAACTTCTTAAATTCTGCTCTGTGTGTGTGTGTACATATATATATGCTTTATTATTATGACTATTATTAGAGAACAAATTTAATTCATTTACTATAATTATAAAATAGTGTTTGCATCTCCATATCAAGTTAAAATGTGAGAATGACCCTAATACCAATGCAAGTAACTTCATCAGCTATGCTTTTAATGGCAATTACTTTTTCCTGTTCAATTGCAAAAGCAAATAATAATAAACAGCACAACCTTAACATACATTAGAATTGAGAGAGGTTACTTTTCTGTCTAATGGAAGCTTTCTGAAGGGCATGTGGTGATCGTCATCATCTCAGGACCTGCCTTCTAAGAACTGTCACGGAGAGTTCTCACAATCTCCAGTGTCAGGGAAATTACGGGTGTGCCTGCCTGTCGGCTCTCCTACTCAGCTCTTGGGTGACCAGAGTGCACTGTTTACTTACGTACCTTCATCCTCCGATTCTCCCGAGGACTCCTCGTTCTCACTGGGACTATCTTCATCATAACTATTCTCGCTCTGAGAGTCTGTAATTTCACCTTCTTCCGGCTCGCTCTCACTCTCTCTAACTTTCTCATCCTTAGATGAGGCTGAATTGTCATCACCAGGAGGCTCGCCAGTGTTTCGGCTAACTGCAAGAGGGGGTCTTAAGGGACTGCTTCTGTGGGGAGTGTCTACTCTGGCCTTCTTTTTCAGATTGGCACCACTGTCTTCCTCACTGCAGTTTATATATTCAACGCTGCAGACTTTCTGGTCTTCTGAACTCAAATCCTAGACAGAGGAAGGCAGAAAATAAGTGAGTGACAACATCACCACATACAGCACTGTATAAAATCCCACTGATTCAGGGAGGATGCAGGACAGCAGCAGAACAGGACGTGCCTACTGATCCTGCTTCACGACACCATTACTCTTAGAACATGGCATTCCTTACTGATCCCCAGCAAAGCATCACATGCGACCAATATCCAAGTGCTAGATGCTCCACAGCCCTCCATTTACTCTCAGGGCCCAATATTCCCGGCCCAGGCCTCCCACCAATAATGTGGCTTGTGTGATAGCCTATAAGAAAGCTGCATAATTAAAATTATAACGTCACTCCTATTTATACTTTAAATTTTGTAATAGTCATATTTTTAAAAGTAAAAAGATGTATATTCATTTTTGTAATAAGACTTCAGAATCTTGTACATACAGAACGTCCTCCTCTCTAGGACCTTCACTTCATCCACAGTCACAAGCAGCTAGAGGCTTCCTTGTGAGCAGTGTGAAAACTACAGAGTGTGTCAACTCTGAAGTTCTGGGTTTTTAAATAAGACAACATACATAAAACACAGAAATATTTTAATAAACAACATATCTTGGGTTCAATTTGCAGCACACATGACTTTAAATAATCAATATTATCAAAACAAGTTTTGCCAAAACCAAACATTTTAGAGCTAGCTGCACTGAAAATGCACAAAGTTTAAAATACAAATGAGTTATTCATATGCCTTTAATTCTAAAAGTTCAACCTGTCTACCATAAACCTTTTATTACTAATTTTGGCATGCTTTTTGAAAAATGAACAAACTATTTTTAATTAACAAATTAAAAGTATGTATTTTTATTAAGCACATTTGAAACTATATAGAATGAATGACTAAATCAAGCCAATGAACATGTGCATTACGTGATTTTTGTTTGTGGTCATAATACAGTTTATTCTCATAGTGACTTTTTTTTTTTTTTTTTTGTGGCTGGAGAGACAGCCGTGGGTGCTGGGAACCGAACTCTTATATTTTTGGTTGTGAGCCAAGCCTTTAACGGCTGAGCCATCTCTCCAGCCCTCATAGTGACTTTCAAAGAATATAATACACAGTGTAGGGATATAGCTCAGCAGTGAGATGTGTGACTTATACATACAAGGTCCTGGGTTCAATTCGCAGTACACATGACAAGTAACACCATCACTAACTACAGGCCCCATTCTGTACAGCAGACAATATATTATTTAAACTGAGAAGAGGCACAGAGTGATTGCTCTCTTTTCCCTGTGGGATGTGACACTCCATTCCTCTTTCTGCCATGCCACATGTAACGAAGTGAGTTCACATGTAACTTAATAAAACAGCACAGCATGTTTGGAATAGCAGCATGAACAGAGTTTGGACAGGCTGAATACCTGCAGGGTGATTAACTATATACACTCTCAGCAATACAAACTCACCAAGGCAGACACAAGGGCAAGGGGCTCAAGAGCTATGAGGAGCTTCACGGGCCATGTAAATTAGATCAAAAGTATCTCCTTAACTATGTCTACACTTTAAAAAAGCATGTTCCAAGCTTCCATTCATCATCATCACTTCTTGGAAAATATAAGAGAGAAAATTAATGAAACTGTTGGAGGTGCTTTTGATAAGGGATTTCCTGGTATAAGGTCTTAGAAAGGGCACTTATATGTGGACAATGAAACACCTCCCTCCCCCTCTCTCTCTCTTTCTCTCTCTCTCTCTCTGTGTGTGCGTGTGTGTGTGTGTGTGTGTGTGTGTGTGTGTGTGTGTGTGTGTGTGTGTGTGTATACATAGCATACATAAAAATATTCTCCCAATACCCAGCCCTGTTGCCTTCCTTCCACACATCTTCATCTGTAAGGCCGGAGAGTCTCTTAAAAAGGAAGGGCAGTAATCGGGATGCTTTACAGCTACCTCTCACAATCTTCTTCCTGCTAGAGAGAGGGCTTTTCCAAGCCTGCCCTTCAAAGTTTAGACTCTAGCAATGGGAACAAGTCACTAGAATGGAGATCCCAAAGTGGTTCTTAGTCGTTCACTAACACACTTTTCTATTCCAGAGAGAAAGCACATCGAGGACAGATAATAAGCCCAACAGAATCTTAATTCCAAGTGTTGATAGAATTTATTATTGTAAGTACATTTCTTTGGTTAAGTTAAGAAAAACCATGAGATAAACTTCCAGAGCACACAATTCAAACAATGTCAGCACAGCCAACACGCTTGTTGTCACACACCACCAACCTCAGCCATTTAGAGCAGAAACAAGAGAAGAGCTGGAATAACGTGCTAATCTCCATGGTAGCCTAAGAGAGTTTAAAATTCCCTTCAGTCTTCATATATAAATTTATTTCCCTTCACATGGTCTTTTGTTTTGTTTTGTTTTTATTTTTTCAAGACAGGGTTTCTCTGTGTAGCTTTGCGCCTTTCTTGGAACATACTCTGTAGCCCAGGCTGGCCTCGAAATCAGAGATCCACCTGCCTCTGCCGAGTGCTGAGATTAAAGGCGTGCGCCACCACCGCCGGGCTATGTCATCATGTTCTGAATTAACCAAAGTCTCACTCCATTAGACTTGAATTTTTTTCCACACCTGACATGATTTCTGAAATGCCAGGGATTAAGCTCAGGGCCTTGCACATGTAACCTAAGCTCTCCAATACTAAGTAAGGTACATACCAGGCCCTTCCCTCCCACCCCCATTTCTTATACATATGGCTGTGTTAATTATGCAAAAAAATTGTCTTTTGTTTTGACTTTTGAAATATAAATTACTAGAAATATGTTCTCCACCTAATGAAAATAAACCATCTTTGTGGTTATTGATAAAGTCAACCTCTTCCCAAAAACAAAACTCAGTGTAAACAACAGATGGTTCGGCCGTTACGAGTGCTTGCAGTGGACACAACTGGTCTTCCCAGCACCTACATCCACTCGCAACCAACCACAACTCCAGCTCCAGAGAACCTGGTCCCTTCTGCGGGCCTCTATGTACACAGACATACCCGCACACACACACACACACACACACACACACACACACACACACACACACACACAATGTATATTTAAATATAGAAACAATAAATCATTTAAAACAAAACAAAAAACTCTTTCAACCCTAATATGTACCTCATTCCATATTTACCAAGAATGCATTTTTAAGTTTGCAGTTTAATAGGTGAGAAATTACTTGATTAAGAATATTGAATCTGGCCGGGCGGTGGTGGCGCACGCCTTTAATCCCAGCACTCGGGAGGCAGAGGCAGGCGGATCTCTGTGAGTTCGAGGCCAGCCTGGTCTATAGAGTGAGTTCTAGGAAAGGCGCAAAACTACACAGAGAAACCCTGTCTCGAAAAACAAAAAAACAAACAAACAAACAAAAAAAGAATATTGAATCTGTACCAATACGCAAATTGTTTTTCTTTTGTGAATGAGAAACCGTACAATAAGCAACTTAACGAATCAGTTTCTGGATGTTATTCTGAGCTAAACAATGTAAACTATTTTATATATCGTAAATCTATCGCCTTCAAACTTACAAAATACCTACCTCTAGTGACTGAGTTTGTGAAAAAAAATTTGTTTCATTTAAATCTTCCTTAGTTTTTAGACTCTCATACCTTAATGGATATATTTAAAATACAAAGATACAGAATGATTTTTTTTCTTCAGAATGATGTTTACATTCATAAAATTTTTGGCTTAATTAATGATACTAAAACACTGTAAAATTAAAAATTAAGAAAGCATTACCTTTTCATCATTTGCTGTACAAAAACCTGGCTCCTTTCTTCTCTTCTTCAATTTTTTATCTTTGCTTGGTTTTGTGCTAGAGGTCTGGTAAGGCTGTAAATCTACTCGAGAATGAAATTGGTATCGACCACTTTCCACATCACAGTAGTAATAAATCCCAGTGGAAGGATCATAGTATAGTTGGTTTTCCTTTCAAAGTCAAGAAACATAAGTTTTATTCATGTATAATGAAACAAAGCAGAAAAATAAACAAAAATGTCAAATATATTCCAATACAGTGAATATGTTTGTTTTAGTAACTAGAGTATTTTCAGAAGATAGTGAATTAGAAAAAAAAATACCTTTAGATATTCAAAAATATTTTATCATTTAAGGTCTGTTCTGTTTTCCTGGTGAGAAAAAAATTAATCTTAATTGCATCAAGTGACTGCCATTGCTTATGGTGTTTTGCTTTATAAGAAATAGCGATTTCGTATGGTTCAACTGACCACATTAAGAAAAAGTGGAAGAAGCTGTTTTGAAGGCATGAACACCAAGGCACAGACCAGAGAGGGGCAAACGAAATCAGTGTCCTGGTGCCGAGCACCCAAACCTCTAACACTACGAGAAAATCCTGACTTTCAATGTTTAATAATAAAACTAAAGAAATTTGGGGCGGGCGGCTAAAGTGTAAGCAACTGGTAAACAACGACCTTCATTAATTTTCTATTTCTTATTAGAAACTTGGAGGCGCAAGTTCAGAACACGGAGGAAAATGAGCAAGGAGAATGAAACACTGAAAAACAGAAATATCTGAAATGAAGGATGGCTCCATTGATAGTCAACCAATTTTTTTAAAAACGACAACAGACAGCATCATTAACAGACAAGACCGTGGGAAGAATGAATTGCAGGATGGAACTCACTCATCAGCCCTCAACCATAATTTGTAAGTGCCAATTCTTACTGTTTTACCTCAGCCTGGACTTAGCTTCTGCTCTCGGGCAGCTAAAACTGCAACAGCGCGGTATTAAAAGTATAAAAAGATACTTACGGAATCATAATAGAAGCCAGTGCTGTGGTCAAAATACAACCCTGTGTTCTCGTCGTAAGTGAAGCCGGTCTGCGACACAGCAGCTTCGGCGGCCGCTCTCAAGCTTTCAGCTAGCGAGGCCCCTTCCAAGGCCGTGCCCTCGGCTGCTAACGCGGACGCACTCTCCTGTGGAGACAAAATCACGCCAAGTGACACAACTGTCGCTCAGCTAGACGCTAGCAAACCTGAAAGGGCCAGGACTCAGAAGGCTGTTTCAGTTTGTTTCCCGTTTGTAATGGAAACACATGGCCATAAGTTACAACCTGAACCATTTTCAAAAACATTTTCAAGTGTTTTTCAATTTAACCTTGACTCTGAGTTTTTTCTTTTTGTTGATTTTGCTGTTCTGGGAGGTCAGAGAAAACCATGTGGACTTGGTTCTCTCCTTCTGCCTTTAAGGAGGTTCCAGGGTTAAGAACTGAACTCAGGCTGCCAGGCTTGCATTAACAAGCACGTTAACCTCCTGGGTTATCTTCCTGAGCTCCAGGGTTCATGGACTGAGTTAAAATAGACTGACAAGTAGTCCTTTAGTTCATGCAATCATAAACACAAAAGCAGTCACAACTATAAATACATTCCCAGTTCTGTTTTTTGTAATGGTAGCTGAATGTACAGACACAAACCAATACCCAGGAGGGTGAGGCAGGACAACTTGAGCTCAGGGGTTCAAGGCCAACCTGAGCAACAAAGAAAAACTTTATTTCAAAAGACAAAACAAAACTGACACTCTTTGCATAATCATAAATATAACTATTTATAACTCCTATGTGCATTGTAGTGTGCATTAAGGATTCCTGTCTTTGTCTATAACGGCAATTTAAGGATAAATTCCTGGGCCTCAGGTTTCACGGCTAGCCTTTTATTACCTGTGAGTCAGAGGTGAAGTGGTCTTCTTGTGTATGTTTAACACATTCTGCTACATCAGTACCAGCATAACGATCACTGTCTACTTGTGCCTCATCTTTAGTAGGAGCTTGAACACACTGGCTCTGCTGTGCAGACAGTTCCGTCTCTTTACGGGGAAGACTATCATCATTATAGTATGTCTGATAATAATAATCTGTAGCAAAAAGAAAGACACAGCTGATGGATGTATGGAAGAAGTTTAACTGTTAATTGTAGCAAACACAAAGTAGCACACATTGAAACCCTGAGTATCACACGCAAAACAGCATCCATTAAATCTGGCCACAAGGCCAAGACCAGATTTTTTTTTAAAAAAATAAGAAAAAACAAAAAAAGAAGGTGGCTTACTGACTGACAAAACTATTAAGTATGATCAGTAAGGTGGGGGGTAAAGGGGGTTTTCCCAGTATTAGAGAGCCTGGAGGTAGAAAGTTGATACAAATGAAGCCAACCTGGGCTACCAAGCAAGTTCCAGGCTAACTCTATCTCCAAACTGAGAACCTAACTCAAGCAACAAGAACAAAATACTTAGTATAGCATTGAAAACATATACAAACATTAACAAAATTACAGAAATAATACATTTCTATTTTGCCACCCTACATTGACAGAAAGAAAAATAACCAAGTGATGTAGAGAGAAATCAGTATTATTAGACTCTTCATATTAATGTATTTTGTCTTTTATTTGTAAAGAAACACTGCTTGAGCAAGTATGAATGCTCTGAGAGGACTCGTGCATGCCCACTAGACACGGAATACCTGAAATGGACCACGGAGCGTGGTCCTCTGTCTGTACTTCTACATCAGACTTTGTATTATCTTCATTTCTCCCACAATGCAGTATTTTACTGAGTTCTTCTACCTGAAAGGAAACAAAAGCTTTAGGAAAAATAAACCATAAAGCAATCCAATAATACACATAACACTCTCTATCATTCTCATAACACTGCGAGGCATTTTTCTTGGTAGAATTTTTAGCCCTGTGCCCAAAGCAGCTAGTTCCTTTTCAGAAACCCTACAACTAACTATCCACAAGCTAAGGCTTCACTTTTGGCTTTTCTCATCTCCATCACCCCTCTTTTCTCCTTCCTTTTTAACAAAGATCTCTTTATTTTGCACAGCAGGCTGATAGTGAACTTGCAGGCTCAAATAATCTTGCTTCGACCTCCCAGAGAGACAACCTGTGCATGCCACTGCGACCCGCTCAGGGATGTTTTCATACTCTTAGGAAAACTCCCAAATCACAGCTGGGTATGGTGTGCACACCTTTCGTTCCAGCAGGTGATCAACGAAACCACACAGGTGAGACCAGCCTGTCTAAAAAAACAAAACAAAAAACAAGGCAAACCATTCAAATTAGCCCCCAAAAAAATCTAGCGATAGAGCTCAGTAGTGGACACTTGCCCAGTGATCGTGAGGTCCTAGGCTCAGTCTCCGGTACTGTAGAAAGGAAAGTCTAACTACATACAGCTCAAATACAGGCAAGTTCTACCCCAGCGTGGACGAAAACAAAACAAAAGGGTTATTCTCATAGTCTCAAAGGCTGACAGCTCTTGCTTTAAAATGACACGTGTCCACCTGAACTGAATTCTCGACCACCACACTCTAACTAGGAGTTATTTACTTAAATACAGCAATGCTATTTTTAGGTGGCATGTACTTTTTCCTCTCTGCTCTTATCACTGAATAACTACAGCAGAATGGACCAGAGAACACGACAGAGGTGGCATCGTTCCTCTGTGTGCTGTGCACTGAAGCACCATTGAAAGATGTTATGCAGGCCAGGGCAACTGGGTGGACGTGCCCACGAGTGGATGAGAACTGCCTCAATCCAGGTACCTCACCTCAGTCTGACAGGATCCCCATCTGTGTTTTACGAAAGAAAACAATGAAAATGCTTCTAAATATTTAATGGTCAGTAAGCTGAAACCCAGAAAAGGCCATGAGAGTAGTTACATACAGGTTTACCTAGGCACTCTATGAATTGTGAGGTCTGCTCCTACTACCAGGACTGGAACCAGGCCGAGAAAACAAAGTAGCGAAGTGTTAAGGGGCTCTGGTTCTCAGATTCATCCCTCATTCACTCCTTACCCTGGAGACCACAGCCTTGCTTGCCCTGGTGCTGACTGAACCATTGCTGCTGTCAACTGGAATACTTAGTGTCTACCACATTTATAGAAACTTTGAGGAACATCTTACTTACACAACCTTACAAATTAGTTGTCCTGGTGTCAATGTTACACATGAAATAGCTTAAGAGACAAAGTAACTTGCAAAAGGCTTGTGAATCCCCAAACCAGCACATAGTATGGCTTTCTATCAGGTCATCCTCTATTTACTGCTCCAAAGAAAACTTATTCAAAGATTTGGGATGACAGATAACCACACTCCACCCTCCTAGTAGGGAGTGCTGACTAGTAGGTAGTTATAACTATCAGCAAGACGAAAGACTTTCTCTACTTTTAAGCTATTATTATTACTACTATTATTATTTAACTGGGGGAGGGAGGTGTTGGGAATCCAAGCCAGGGTCTTCTGCTTACAAGCACTCTCCTAATGACTTCCACTCTGTTTCTCTGTCTCTTTTTCTTTCTCTCCTCTTTCTCTCTACACTGCCCAAAAGAGCCTAAAATTTCTAGGCTACAAACGTAACTCTAAACAATGGGTACAGAAGTCATTTCAAGCCAGCAGTTATTTTCTGAGCTCCTTTAGGAATAGTGTATCGGGGACTGGAGGGATAGTGGCTTAGTGGTTAGGAAGAGCACTTGTTGTTAAACCCAAAGTCCTGAGTTTGTTTCCCGGTATCACAGAATAAGCTGGTTTGTTCTCCAAGACATCTGGGTCTCCAAGACCCAGAACTGTGGGTGGTAGAACCAGTAGGATCCCCGAGGATTGTGTGCTGCCAGACTAGCAAAAAAAAAAAAAAAAGAGTCAGGTCCTGGTAAAGGAAGAGACCCTGTCTCGAAGGAATAAGGTAGAAAAGGACACCTGTTGTCTCTCTCTGGCTTCCATGTGCACATAGGTAGGAATATACCAAACACACACACACACACACCCCACATAAAGTATGGCAAAGTTTGATGACATTTCAGTATCTAGCCTGGAGATATAGTTTTAATAAACATTAAACTGAAATTAAGTATCTGGAACTAACTTGTTAGGATAATATGCAACTATTCAACGGTCAAGTTAAAAATGTGTAATTTTTTTTAAGCAACACTGTCAAGTATTTATCCTTACTATGTATTATGAAAATGAAACACACTCCTAGTATCTGTAAGAAAGACAGGTTTACCTCTCTACAAGTGACCCCAAGAGGATAACTCTGATCACCCTACACATGGAGTATCTTCAATAGTGTGAAAAATTTAATTGTGTTCTTGCTTTTAAACTTCTCAGCTGCATGCTATTATCACCCAGATTTTATAAGCAACTGGGGTGCTCAAGATATGAGAAGGGACCCTAAGTTCAGCCTTAAGCAAACTCAAATGGCTGGGGTGGATGTTGTTTCGTGCCTGAAATCCCAGCCTCCGAGGATGAGACCGGACAGCCATGAATCTGGGTCAATCTTGGTCTACATATTTGAGATCTAAGCCAGACTGACTGACTAAAGAGTGAAACTCGGATCTAAGCCAGGCTGACTACGGAGTGAAATTCCGTGTCGAAAATCCCAAACCGGGGTGGGTAAGCTCACCATGCCAGCCACTTGGGAAGTGGAGGCAGAAGGTTCAAAAGTTGAACTTCAAAGCCATCCTCCTTTACACTACTGCGCGTTCAAGGCCCAAGTGAGCCTTGGTCTGAACCAAAACAACTCAAACCTGACCTAGAAGAAAAATAAATAAACGCGCCCGTTGCCAGTGGGACAGGAAATCAAGACCATGTAGCCGGTGCTGGAGTTCATCCGCGCCTGCCCCGAGACAGTTGTCCACACCAACTGGCTTGCACTGTTCAGCCGGCTCCAAAGGCATTGGGGGGGAAGGGGGGGTGTTAACAACTCTAGGCTTTATTGATTTCAAAGACTCCGGCCAGGGAGGCACTGGCGGGCCTCGGGGCGGAGGCGGACCGCGCACCTGCGTGCGGAGTTCCTGGTTATTGCTCTCGGCGCTCTGGTACAGCCGCTCGGTGTGCCGCAGCAGCTTCTCCACCTCCCGCACGTGCCGCTTGCAGCTCCGCAGCTCGCGCTCCAACTTCTCCACCTTCCGCCTCAGCTGCGCCAGCTCCGGCTCGGGAGAGGCGGGCGGCGACGCGGGCGGCGAGGGCTCCGCGGAGGCCATGCGGCCGTCCGTGAGCGCGGGGCCCCGCGGGCGCCGATGGCGAGGGAGGGGGGGCTGCTCACGCCGACACCGGGGATCGCCGGCCCAGGGGCCACGGGAAGGCGCGGGCTGCGAGAGGCGCTCTCACGCCCGGCCTGGCGCGACGGGCCCCGGCCATGTCGCCCCGAAGTCGGCGACCGGGACTACAAGCGAGGGGGCGAAGCTGAGCCCGCCCGGCTGTGAGCTCGGACACCCTGCCCGGGGCCAGGCTCGGAGAAGCCGGCAGACCGGAGCACTACCGGGACGGGAGAACCGGGCGGAAGCGCTCTAGTTCCGGGCTGGGCCGGAAGCGCTGAGCCGGAGGTGGGTGGGGCCAAGGCGGAAGAAGGAAGCGACGGGAAGCTAGAAGGGTCCGGTGGCGCACGTGCGCAGTCCCCGCTTCCCGAGGGGCTAGGAATTGCAGTCTACGAGTCATTAGCGTTTATGTAGCCAAACAGCAGTCGGTAGCTTTACTTCTTGTGTTTCCTTTGTTTTGTAGTCTAGGATTTTGAGTCAGATTCGTGGAATGTTTCCCAATCCAAAGCCGAAGTTTCCTATTTTCCTTACAGTGTGAACTTTGGACATTTCGTTCTCTACCGGGACTAGAGGGATTCACACATGACATAGTTTTGTTAAGACCGTGCCCTAGCTTTTTTGCAGGACCACCATTATCATCTGTCTGGTTCCTGTATCTATCTAAAGTCTGCTTCTGACATGTGCAATCTTTCCCATTTGAGTATTATTAGTCTATTCCCATGTAATTGCTTTGGTTGTATAGGATGCCTTTTTTTAAAAAAAAAAATATGAATAAAAATACTTATTTTTATACATAGTCACTATGTGACCCAGCTATACCACTCCTGACTCCCAAGTCAAAAAATGACAGAGAAACTTGTTGCACTGATTGCTATAGCGAAATCACAGAAGCAGGCAAGTTGACAAACTACAGTATTGGTGTTAAACCTGAGAATCGTGAGGGGAAAAGACCAAATCCACACGTTTTTTCTTTAATTGTCGAGTTAAAGCAAGCTGTATTTTGGGGTGCATCTGGGAGTGGCCAGTCGGCTGTCTCACCCTAAGTCAGGATTTGAGAGAGCAGCCGCTGCTGGCCTCTTGATGTCCCTTTTACTGGAGAGAGAAGGTGTTCACAGGGGAAAGATACAATGTAAGGAAGGAACAAGGGTAAGGATGTGGATGCGGTTGCAGGCAGTTAACATCAGAGCGAAGAAGCAGGAACTTAATTACAAATAGAAACTTCAACTTGCAAGAACTTAACACAGGACAAAACGGAAGTTATTCTTAACTGTCTTAACTGCAAACAGAACACTTAACTTGCAAGGTATACTGTTCTGGTTTGGGTCTCACATTAGGAAATAAAGAAAATATGGCATATATATAAAATGCAAATGTTCAACAATAAAGAAGAATAAAGTTATGTTATTTGCAGGATACTGGATACAACTGGAGATAATCATAGTAAGGGAATTAAGCCAGTTCCAGAAAAGCAAATATCATGTGTTTTCTCTTACATATGGTTCCTAGGTTTGATATAGATTCATAAAACCATTTATCTATCTAGGACATGGTATTATTATGTAGATATATTAATAAAATATAAAGATATAAAGGTAATTATCCATCTTCTATGACAATAAAGTAGAAGCAAGCTGGGCAGTGGTGGCACACGCCTTTGATCCCAGCACTCGGGAGGCAGAGGCAGTCGGATCTCTGTAAGTTCGAGGCCAGCCTGGTCTACAAAGTGAATTCTGGGACAGCCAGGGCTGGTACACAGAGAAACTCTATCTTGAAAAACCAAACACTAAAAATGAAAGAAAGGAAGGAAGGAAGGAAGGAAGGAAGG